CTGTGGACGCAACAGTCGCAAGGTTGCGGCAAACCGGGCGACGCCATACACGCGAGTCACCGGCTGTTCCAAGAGCCCCGGGACCTCGGCAAAGAGCTGACCAAACAGTGGGCCAAGTACCGGTACGGCGTTTTCGACGAGGTCGGCTACGCCGGCGATCCCGTTTACCCGTCGTGTTACGCGTCCGAAACGTCGCACGCCGAAGTCAACGGTTGTTCCGACAAGCCCATTACGCAGACCAAGTAAGTCTACCGTTCGATGCGACGCTGCGCCGATTTTCCGGGTCGTTGCGTACCATGCTAAGTTCGGTGGTTTTTTTTTTCTTTTCTTATTTTGTGTTTTGTCCCCGCAGAGCCTGTAGTTTTATCAACACGACCAATTTGGCTCATCCGGAAGCGAAAACCTCGCTGATGTTCTCCACCGCCGCTCAAGTGACAAAGTTTTGCGACGCTTCTAGCCACGACCGTTACGCGCCGACCAAACAAAACGCGCTGTGCGGACGGCGGAGTATCATGGAGGTCGTCAACACTCATCCGGACTTTACCAAAGGGTAAGGGAAACTTGCGCGTTGAATTCGTGCACTTTCGAATCGCGTTTATTTTTATTGATCTCGGTTCTTTACGGTCCGTTTTTTTTTTTTTTTGATATAGAGTGAACTTGTCCGGAAATCAAAATTTGACACCGACGTTCATTTTCAAAAGAGAAATGCTCACCAGATACGTAGTGGTCATCGAAGACACGAAAGACATGATGGAAAGGGTATGCGTTCAAATTATTATTACTGTCGGCTGTTCGCGACAAATATTCACAGACGATAGGTACTCATGTGAGACCGTATGTTTTCGGCGTGTAGGAATCTTGGAGTTTTCTGCGATTGGCCATCCGTAAATGGGCTGTACACGATTTGCCGTCCAACACGGAAGTCGGACTCGTATCGGCCAACGACTCGTCGGCCAACCGCCTGCACGACCTGAGCAGACTAGTGACGTCGGACGCCAGGGACCAAGTGGCGTCGAACATACCTTACTCGCCCGGCGACTCGAGACTGCCCGCGTGTTTGGCCTGTGCGTTCAAAGAAGCCATGAAGGTAATACCTCGTACTCGACACGACCGTTGTGTTTGATGACACGGTTTTCACCCGGTGTTTGCATATATAATTTTATAATGTTCGTGTAGATGTTGGAAAACCGCGCCAGCACCAACGGACCCGCCAGTTCGGTCATTGTAGTCATCGCTCCGGGGACCACGGCGTACACACCCGACCTGACCAAACAAGTGGCCGAAGCCAAGGACAAGAATATACGCATAGCGACCGTCACGTATCCGATGCTGAAGAGGACCCGGTCCCTGGACTGGATGGCCGAGAAGACCGACGGCGTTTCGTTTACAGTCACCGAAAACCGGTACAGCATGACGCTATTGTACCTGTCCACTTACTTCAAGTTGACCAACGTGATGCGCAACATAATGGAAACGTACTATCAAGGGAACAAGGGCGATTTGCCCATAGAAATCCACAGGCGCGAACTGACCGATGATGGCAGGACCACGGTCACCGGAAGCTTTGTGTTGGAGGACAATATGGGCGAACCGGCCAAATTCACCGTTTACACGCACAACACGGAAAACCCGCTCATTCGGGCCATTACTCTGACTAGTCCTTCGCAGCGCGTGTATTCGACCCGTTCCGATTCGTTATTGTCGCTAAAAATGCTCTCCTTACCAGCCGCCATAAACGAGGTAAATATTATTATTGTTATCACGGCGATTTCGGTTGTGTTTCTATGTTTTTTTATGCTAATACAACACCGTCGTTTTATACAGACCGGAACGTGGACGTACCACATTGAACGGTTCCTGGGAAGTCCGCAACCGCATTACGTGCAAGTGATGGCCAAACCGTTAACGAAAAACTTGCCTGTGGTCAGGGCTAGGGCTTGGACAAGTGGAACGACCAATCCGTTGGCCATTTACGCCGAGGTCAAACGTGGCGATTATCCGATACTCGGAGCCAAAGTCGAAGTGTCCGTCATCCGACCAGGTTTAAATGGTTCCAACGAACATCGCGAAAAGTTTGATCTGTTGGACACGGGTAGTGGAGGTGAATACATAATAGTATTTGTACAATAATATTATTTTAATATTGTCCAATATCTTTTCCGCGGAAAAATCGATTCGGCTTTATTTTGAAATTTCCCTCCGGCTCGTCCTGTTGTCCGTATCATTTTTCCTTATCCCCCGCTCTTCTACAAATTATTTAACTGTAAAATGTCTATTGTCCCGTATAATTAATAAAATATAAACAAATTGGCAATCCAAGGCGATTTTATATTATTCTTATAAAAACCGAAATCCCTGAACATTTTTGTAATGTTTTGTTGATATTTACAGATCCGGATCTCATGAAAGGCGATGGAATATATTCGAGATATTTCAATCCCATGGTCGGCGGACCCGGAATTTATACGTTTGAAATAACCGTTTCGGACAGCGGCAACATCGCTTATACTTGGCAACACAAGAACATGGACAGGAACCCCGTCAATTCCGGTCAGTATAGAATATATTTGTATAAATAATATCAATCGTTGTGCTTTGAAATGGCAATTTTTAACGTTGAACTATCGTGTTTATAGAATCGAATTGTTGTGGATCGTCAATGACGTCGATGTCAATGGAACAACTCAACCCGTTCCAACGGATCATCGCCCCGCTATCGGTGACATACTCTTCTGACGACCTGTCGTCGTCGGTGAACGTGGGCCGAGTGGGCGACTTGAAGGCGGAAATAGTAAAGCCCGAGCTGAAAGCCCGGCTTTCGTGGACGTCGCCGGATATGGGCGGCAACTCCGTGGCCAAGTACGAGATACGGTATTCTCAATCGCTCCGGTCGTTGCTCAACGACTTTGATTCGGCTCCGGTGTGGGTGCACGGCGAACCATTGTCGTTGGCTCCGGGATCCGAGACTGTGTTTTCGTTGGACATGAACAAAGCCCCCGAGCTCTTGGACCAGTCGTTGTTTGTGGCCGTCAAGGGTTACGGCCAGGTAAATTCCGTGCCCGGACCCGTGTCCAACTGGGTCAGGGTGCTGGTACCGTCGCCGCCTCCTCCTCCGTCGTTGGTCACCACCCATACATCGGTATCGTCGGACGACCCGTCCTGGACCACCGCCGACCAAAACATCATCCCTAGGATCACCCGGGGCGACTTCAACTACGACGTAATCGTGCCCACCGTCGGCGGCCTGATGTTGGTGTGCCTGCTGTTGCTCTTGTACTGCTTGTTTTGCCTTACGAAGCGCAACCGAAAACCCGAGAAACAATCGCCCAAACAAGAGAAGTCGCTCAACGTGTCGGTCATACCGAACGGAAACGGCGTCGGCAACGGCGGCGCGTTGAACATATCGTCTCCCATCAACGCCGTCAAGACGGAATTGGAATCGCATTTCGAGCCCTGTCTGATCGACACGGGCGACGCGAAGAAACGGTACAGCGTGGCTCAGTACGGACCCGCGGTGACCAACGACCATCACATTTACAACAACAACAATCAGCAGCAGCAGCAGCAGCAGCAGCAACAACAGTCGCACCCTTACCATCACCAGAGTAACGGTCACTTGAGCGTTATTGGCGGAGCGACGTTGACCCGCGCCCCGAAACCTCTGAGCCCGTACCAATCGTGGACCGCTTCGCAGCTGTTGCACGAACACGAGCGCAGGACCAGCCCGTACGGTCAGATCGGCGATTTCGACGGCCAATACGCGCCGCCGGTGCCTCCTCTCCCGGCGTACCAGCAACAACAGCTCCAGCAACAGCAACAACAGCAACAGCAGCAACAGGCCAACGTGGAAAACATTTACGGGACCGCGCCGGGACATTACAACCAGCAGCCGCAGCAAAACGGACTTCCGCCGCCGGGCCAATACAACAGCTATCACCGGAACAACATGATACTGTTCAACCAGAGCCTACAGGGATCGTTGAGCTCGGTGAGCAGCGGCGACAAGAAGAAGAGAAACATAACCATGGTATAAACGAGACGGGAGAAGAGAACGGGGAAAACTTCAGACGACTATGGCGCGTCAAAGTATTTTTAAGACTGACTATACTTATTTTGTGCGACTTTGGTCCTTCTCCAGCGTCGATCATGTGTGTACGAGGGCACTGGTCCGGCGTACTATTATGTTCACCGGTTGTTTTTCTCAATTTGTTTCATATATTTTTTTTTTTTGTTTTTTTTATGCGGTTTCTAGTCAATTCACAAACGTCGTAGACTAAAAACCACCACACGCGTACGTACAACCATGTTTATGATATTATTTTGTTTTTGTTATGATCTCACTCGTTTCTTGTAAAATACTTTTGTAATTTGTATATTATATCATAATAATTATATTATTATTATTATACTACTATTTATATTAGTATGTTACTGTTACTAAATAAGAGCCTTATAGTATTTTATCATGATGCTCTTTATATCGGTCGTATTAATATTTCGGGAACTGCCTCTGAGAACCCTACACATTGATAATATTATACTGACAATATTGTAAATTATTATTATTATATTAATAAGTCGAGTGTTACTCACCGTTTTGTGCTTTTTTTCTTTATTTTGTATTATTTAACTATTATAAGTGTAAAACATATTCTTTGTAAACATAACCAAAAATATATTGTTATGAATAATTTGTTTTTCAATTTCATATTAGCTTTCGGATGGATTTTTTTTATATATATTTTTTTTTCTAGACGTTAATCATAATGATAATATGTTTTCTCATATCCAAAATATTATTTATATTGTACTATTATATTTTTGTACCTACATGTAAATTCGCAGTAGACTACTTAGTTTGATACCCTAATTGTATATTGTATATTATTATTATTATATCGATAATCCTAATTGCATACCATAATATAATATTAAAATTGAAATAATCGCGCGTATTTTTTTTTTCATTTATTTAGAATATTAGAAACAACCCGTGGTAACTAGGCGATTGAACACAACAGGTGTGAATTAAATAATCGTTTCTTTATATTTTCAAAATACATTATTATACATACATAATACCTATCAAGTACATTAACTTAAATTAATATTTTGTTTGTGAGTGCCACACCTTTTTATAACTATAGGTTATTAATATACGCATAAACTTAAAAACGTTATTATTAATTGATTAATACGGATAAATCGTACAGTGCGTTGGTAACGAAATCATTTTGCTTCTGACTTCGAGT